GTTTCCAGTTCTGCTGGGAAGAGAATCCCAGAGACATCCATCCATCCATCCATCCATCCATCCATCCATCCATCCATCCATCCATCCAATCCCAGCCTTTGATGCTGCTTAGCCCACAAGGGAACGGGCAGCAGCTCTCCATGCCAAACAGGGAACGTCCTGGGAAGAAATGAGAACTAAAGAGAGGCAGTGTGGCTTCTGGCCCTGCTTACTCAGTGTTCCCAGACACAGCCCATGCTCTCCTGACAGCAGGTAACAGCCACCAGGGTCCCCAGCAAGCCTGCTGCCCTTTAATGCAGCCTAACAACACTAAACCCAAGCAGGGGCGAGGCTGGGCGGGGAATGAGACAAGGCATAAATTAAAGCAGAGGATATGAATTCCGTGCAGGCTGCAGCACTGGGGTTAACGTGGGTCTGGAAGCAGTTTAGGGAAAACCTGGAGTGGCTAAGGGCCAGCTCTGAGCTGAGCTGCTCTGGCCTAATCGTTTCCTTCAGGCAGGCTACTCCAGCTCACTAATAGGTTTTAATAAAAACTTCCAATTGGGCCAGTAAACCCCTCATTAAGCTGTTTTTAAAGCATGAATTTAAGAGGGCCGGGGGTAAAAGGTCAGGGGGAGTTTTTAATTCAGACCGGCTGGCAAAAGGTGCTGTTGTGATTGAAAACACCAGAGTTCAAGTGTCCAGGGCCACATAAACATCCGACTCTGTCACTAGACCTGCTTAAGTGACAGCTTGAAAAATAGATTTAATAAGACAGAGAGAAAAGTTTCCCACTCTTACAGCAGCAATAGGAACAGCAGATCCCAATATTAGGCAGGAATGGTTGGGAAGCAGCTCCAGCCCTCCCATCCTGGTGTGGGGGTGAATAAAGAGCAGCCCGTGGCCAGCTGGGTGCCCAGGGGCTCTGGGATCCAGGGTGTCCTGCTGGGAATGGAGCAGTTTTCTGGGAATAACATGGAGCAGGCCAGCCCCACATCCTGCTCCAGGGGCTCCCCACACAAGCAGAGCTTGGGGACTCTGTGCTGCCACGTGGAACTCACAGAATCCCACACTGGACCGGGCTTTAGGGAGCTTTAGGCTGGTCCAGCCCCACCCTCTGCCATGGGCAGCTTCCCACTACCCCAGGTCTGCTCCAGCCTGGCCTTGGACCCTCCCAGGGATGGAGCAGCCACAGCTTCTCTGCCAGGGAATCCTCCTGGGCAGCTCCCCCCCTGCAGAGGGGTCTGCAGCAACGTCCAGCTCAGCTCTGAGCACAGCTCAGCCCATCCCCACCTTAAGCCAAGCTTTGGACCTGCACCCGTGAAGTTTGACCTCGATTATTTCATTTTCCTCTCGTTTTCCTCCATGACCACAGAGCTGCTCTCCAGGCTGGTGCAGCCAAAGGAAAACTTCCCCCCTTCCCTGGGAACGCTCACAGAGCAGAAACATCTCCTCCATCTCACCCAGAACCCCAGCTGTGCACTCCAACATTTAATTTTATGTCAATGCACATCTAAAATTCGAGATCCCTGAAGACCTTTTAAAAGAAAATCCTCCTTGGAACAATTTGCATTGAAGCAAAGAGTGAGGATTTAACAAGTGATGGAGAATTACAAATACTCGGCTCTCAACTTTTTATTCTACTTCTAATCAAAACACACTTCAGCTCAAATTCTGAGCTAATAGATGCAATATCAAATTGGGGGGCATTTTGGGTAGGAACTCAGTTATTTGCTCATTCCATGTTTACAGATAATGGAAAAAACCTCCAGAGTTTGTTCAGGGATTGTCTTTTCTCCACACCAAAATTAACAAGGAAGTTTACTGGGAGAGGGAGGGGGGAAAAAAAATTATTTTTGCTTTTAAAATGTGCTTCTAATTCTGGCCTGCAAGGAGTGCAGGAGCCAGGCTCTCTGGAATGATCCCTAAGGAAACATTTGCTTTGGCTCCAAACAGGACACTCTGGAGCATCAGGAGTCAAATGGGATCAGCTGCTCCTCCATCCCTCCTGTTTAACGATCCCATTGATAGCCACGAGGGCAGCAGATGCATTCCTGCCTTTCCTGGCTGGGAACAGGCATCCTGCAACCACTGGGATAATTCAGGATCTCTCTGGACAGTGACCTCATTTTCCCTGGGTTTTCACTCTACACAGATCCACTACAACTCGCTCCATCCTTGCAGCTTTCCTGCTTTTAACTCCCTTTTTTTGACCAAGACAAACTCAGGACCCTCAAAATTTCTTCTGAATATCTGGAGGCTCCTTAAAACCAGAAGGCAGAGCCAAAAAAAAAAGGAAAAAGAAATCCTGGGAAGGGGCAGCACCTTTTCCAAGCCTCTGCTAGAGCAGGGATAATAAATCCCTACATGGAATCAGAATTCCACTGGGGAAAAAAGGAGTCCTTGGGGGTATCTCAGGCTGAAGCTTCCTCCTGCTCTAGGAGAGAACCCAGGGCCAGAATCAGCAAAGGTGGCACCACCACAGAGCTGGTGAGGCAGCTCTGGTCTCATTCCAAGCCAGGAGAACACAGCTCCTGAATTTTCAGGAAGGACAAAGCAGAAATTGGCCTTGGGGGCTCTTTCAAACCCCAGCAGCACAGGGGGAACCTGGAGAGAGAGGCAGAGCTGAGCCAGGCCAGGCCACCAGCACCAGGGAGAACATGAGGGAAAGGCCTTGGGACAGCAAAACTCCAGGAGGAGATTTAGGCTGAGGATGGAGGAGCCAGGAAAGCTCTGGAGGAGCAGCCTGGTCCTGCAGCTGTGCTCCAGGGAGGGCAGGCAGCACATCCATCCATCCATCCATCCATCCATCCATCCCTCCCCAAAAATCCATCCAATCCCATCCCAAAAATCTATCAAATCCCAAAAATCTATCCATCCACCCAATCCAATCCCAAAAATCCATCCATCCAATCCCAAAAATCCATCCATCCATTCATCCCCAAAAATCCATCTAATCCCATCCCCAAAAATCCATCAAATCCCAAAAATCCATCCATTCATCCCAAAAATCCATCCATCCTTCCATCCATCCATCCCCAAAAATCCATCCAATCCCATCCCAAAAATCCATCCATTCATCCCAAAAATCCATCCCATCCATCCATCCATCCATCCTCTCCATCCATCCAGGATTTATGCCTCACAGCCTCACCAGAACTTTGCCCTTCCAAAAATAAGGAGGAAAAGTGGCCCTGGATCTGTGCCCACCCACAGGAAGGACCCAGGTGCCACCTCCACCCCCTCACCAAGGGCACCCCGCTGGCTCCAAAGCCAGGTTTACATCAGAGCACCAATAAACCCAGCCTAAAGTGATCCCAGCTCAGCTGATTCCAGGCCTGGCTGATGCCCACTCCAGGATCTGCATCCCAGAGCAGCTCCTCAGCCTCCAGGGATGAACAGCCCAGCCTGGGGCTCTGCACTGCTGGTTCCCAGCTCCTTCCCTCCAGTGAGGAGGATTTTTAATCACTTTTCCCCACCAGGACTAAGAGCAAAGAGCAAAACCTGTGGCAATACCAGTTGATCCCACAGCTTGTTGTTATTTCCAGGCTCTGGAGTGCTTTAAAATTCACAGGGACAGCCTGGAGATTGAATAGAGGCTACCAAAACCCATCCTGAGATGTAGCAAAAAAAAATCCCACACTTCCTGGAGGGGGATAGGAAACAGTCAGCACTTACAAAGAACTCTCCAGGAATTTCTTTTTTTTTTAAGGATCTTGCTTTGAAGTAGATGCTCCCAAAGAACGAGGCTTCCAGAGCTCAGCAATATTTAATGTACTGCCCCAGCAATGGATGACAATGTTGTTGTTTCAGCTATATTATAACAAAAATATTGTGGTTTTCCTGTATTCTGACAAAAGGAACTGCAGATTTACATCTCCTTCATCTCATTCCGAAGGAGCCCTCACGCCAGGAACGGGGAAGGGAGAGACCCCACTGCGTACAAAGGGCTCCTTGGAGGGGGATCTCCACTTGGGACACAAAAAAATATGAAACACCGCTTGAAAACCAACAAAAACAAACCATTTCTCTGCACCCATCAGCAACACACCCAGAGGATGAGCAGCTCCAGGCCAATCCTCTGGGTTTGTGCTGTCCTGGATTAAATATCCACAGAATTATCTGGAATGCTTCGTGGAGCAGGATGGAGAATTCTCCATATTCTGGGCTCCACCTCAGCATTGCCAGAAACCCTCAAGGAGCAACTCGAATTCCAGAACATTCCATTGGGAATGAGGAGACAGCTGCAATTCCCAGAAGGAAAAGGGATCAAAGCTCCCTGGAGCACACAGATGGGATTGGAGCATTCTTTCTGAGTAAGCAGATTCCATCTGGGACAAGCTGGGAACACAAATCCCATTTCCAGGCATGATCCAGAGTCCTTCTCCACCCACCCATCCCAGGGCATTCCTGAAGGGAGAGAACACAGCCAAAGATGCTGATTTAAGCTGTTATTCCATGGCAGCAATTCCCAGAAAATCAGCAGTTTTCCGAATATTTCCACAGAGAGGAATGCTTCCAGCAGGATTTGTAAACTTCCATTTAAGAATGGGTTGGAAAACCGTAAAAAAATCCAACTGGGAAAAATAAAATCCAACCTCCAAGAGAGCAACACCTGCAGCTCATTCTAGGGAAAAGCCCATGATAGGAGTAAGAGATTCCTGATATCCAAATCTCCTGTGGAAAGGGAATTTGGGAGGAGATTCCCTCCCAGGAACGTCCTTCACTCCCTTCATCTCAAACACAACCCTTCCACCAACTCTCCTCGGCCTCAAATTACAAAATTTCCTTTCTTTAAGGGCACGTGGGCAGAAAGAAATGCAGTGAAATTAAATCAAAAGCTTAACAAAAAAAAAAATAAGTTTAATAAAAATACAAAATTTAAATATGCCAGCAAAAGAGAAAAAATTTAAACATGCCAAAGGAAGAGCAAGAGAAGCTGGAAAAATGGAAAAGCTACATACCCACAAATGCATCAACAAAATATTACTGCTGCTTTTGGCTCATTTTTAGCCACTTACCAAAGGAATACCTGCAAAACAAAATGAAGAGAAAGCAAAAGAATTAAAATTGGGGTTGACAAATTCAAGGGAACACGTCTTGTGTTGGTTTGGTTCCTCACTTCCAGCACCTGGAGTTTCAAAATGCTGGCAGGGAGTACAGAAAAGTCCTGAATTGCATCAAATGTACCAAAACTGGGAAAATGCTGCTGCGTGGAAATGGAAGAGGAGAAAATTCCCAAATTTTTGGGCTGCTCAGCACTCCAAGAATTGCCCCTGTGACACAGAAGGGCTGCTCCAGCTTTTCCCACTGCAATTCCCTTCAGCCTCAGCTGCACCATGGCGATTTTCTGTAAAATTACCAACTCTGATTAAATTTGACTTTTAATCCTAAAGCTGAGCAAGTTTTAAGATGCTGTTCTTCAAATTGTGTTTATTCCCAGTATGGCTTCAAGCTCACATCAGGAATTTGTATTTATTTATAGGCATTTGTATTTATTTTATGTATTTATTTCTATGTATTTGTACATATTTATTTGTTTATTTATATGTATTTGTATTTATTTATATGTATGTATTTATTTATATGTATTAGTATTTATTTGTATTATTTATATGTGTTTTCATTTATTTATATGTATATGTATGTATTTGTATGTATTTATATGTATTTGGATGTATTTATTTGTATTATTTATAAGTATTTGTATTTATTTATAGGTATTTGTACGTATTTGTTTGCATTATTTATATGTATTTGTATTTATTTATATGTATTTGTATTTATCTTAATGTATTTGTATTTATTCATATTATTTATATGTATTTGTGATTTGCATTTATATGTATTTGTATTTATTTATATGTATTTGTATTTATCTTCATGTATTTGTATTTATCTTAATGTATCTGTATTTATTCGTATTATTTATATGTATTTGTATTTTTAATGTATTTGTATTTATTTATGTGTATTTGTATGTTTTTATATGTATTTGTGTTTATTTAGTTGCATTATTTATGTATTTGTATTTATTTATATGTATTTGTACGTATTTATTTGCATTATTTGTATGTATTTGTATGTATTTATATGTATTTGTATTTATCTTTATGTATTTGTAATTATTCGTTTTATACATATTTATATTTATTCATATTTTATTTGTATTTATTTATATGTATTTGTATGTATTTATATGTATTTGTATTTATGTATTTGTAATTATTCGTTTTATATGCATTTATATTTATTCATATTTATTTATTTGAATTTATTTATATGTATTTGTATTTATTCATATTTATTTATTTGTATTTGCCGCATATTACACTAACCCCAAAAAACCCACCCCCCATACTAAGAAACACAGCAGGTTTCAAAGATTTTTAGAAGGATTTGCTACGACTGAAAATATCCTGAATAAGTTGCATTTTACACTCATCACTGATGGGTTTTTGAACTAATCAACCTCGATGTTTCACACCATATTTAACAACAATTTCCTGCAGATTTACCGATGTATAAAGAGGAGAAAAAGCAGGATCATTTGTAATTGAATGAATAATAAAAGCAGCTTTTAATGAAGTTATTTGTCACGAAGGGAACCTCGCTCTGCTGCTCGACACCAACTCACAGGAACCACTCTCATTTCTTGGCACAAGCAAAGAACCCCCTGAGGCTCATTTCAAACACACCCCCACCCCCCAAATGAGGAATTAATAAAATATTGGATTTTGCTGAACCACATGAAGTTTTCTGACGTGTGTCTGGTGCTGATTACATCAATCCAGGCTCCCGGCCCCGTCATGTGATGACAGGCAAACACTTGTGGATTTATTCCTCTGAAGAAGCCTGCGAGACAAATGCCAAGGAAACCAAACCAAATGGCCCACTCCGAATCCATAAAAGCAGCAGGAATTCTTGCAGGGATTTCTTCGATTTTAATAGGTACAAGCAGGGCAGGTACCCAATTCCCACAGATTTCAGGCTGGGGTTTAGAATTTAATCACCACTTTTCCTTTTCGAGGTGGCTATAATGAGTTCACAGAAATATTTATTTAAAAATGTGGATTTTTTTTTTCCCCACATTTTGGTGTTTGAAGCATTCCCAACAGATAATAAAGAAAAACACAGATTTGATTTCTCAGGCTTGAGGGTAAATTTCACCAGCAGAACTTTTGATCTGCATGTTGTGAAATGCAGAAATTCTGCTGATTCAAAGTGTATTCGGCTTGGATTGCATAAATCCCATTAAAAAGTGATGTCATGGCTGTTTTCTGCTGGAAGAGACAACATTTTTAGCCCTGCCTTGTCAGGGGAGGAAAATCCGTGTCCCACTTAGCCTGGATCAGCTGGCAATCATAAACATCATTTAATATTTCAGTTGAATTGTTTTCACCACCTTGTCCTGATGATTCATTCTAGCTTCAGTATATTCCTGGAAAGTAAAAACTGAGAGCAAAACCTGCCTTGAACCCCGTTATTCCCAAGGAAAACACATCCTGCTGTCAGGGGTTTGGGGACACAGCTCTTCCAGGGAGCAGAAATTCCCACCCAAACACAAAATGCCACCTTTTCCAGAGAATTCCTTTTTTCCTGCATGCAAAGCATGAGGAATAATGGGTTTTATTTGCTGGAGAAGGAGCTCACCAGCCAGACTTGCCCCAGAAATTCACATTTCCTTCTCCACTCAGCTGCCTCAGAGCTGCTCAGGTTATTTAATGCAGGGCTTGTTTGGGACAGGGGTCTCTAAACCTGCAAATCATTCCTAAAACTATTTTTAATGGACTCTATTCCAAAGAGAGTCCATTAAAAACAGGATAAACCAGGCAGGTTTTACCTTTACATCTATAAACTGTTTGTTTTACATCTATAAATTGGATGTTCTGAGGAAAATCCAGTTGAATTTGTACTAAAACCAGAGTAAAACCAGCTCCACCCCAGCAGTGCCCAGCTCCTTCCAGCTGAATTCCCACTGGCAGAATTCCCTGCTCATCCCCAAATCCGCAGCTGCTGTTAACAGCTCCCACTGCTGCTCCCCACAGAGAACATCCCCATGGAAAGTGATCCCAGATGGCAACTTGGATGATTCCATCACAAATCCCTCTCCTTCCCTGGGCTCTGGAGCTTGGGATGAGGGAGAAGTTACTGGGTACAGGCATATTTTCCATTCTGCACCAGGATTTGGTCCCCAAAAGGAGATTTTCAGGATGGAAAAACACCCTTTTTTTTAATCCCTGGACACTTCCCCAGCCCAGTTGGGAAACATCTCTGGCAAAACCCATCAAAATGAGATCCAGGATTAGTCTGGTGCACTATTCATTTCAGAACATCATTAAAGGAAACATTAACAGGGAAAAGTTGCTGGGTACAGGGATATTTTCTATTCTCCACCAGGATTTGGTGCCCAAAAGGAGATTTCCAGGAGGAATTCACAAGGTAGGAGCTTCACTGTGAGGGATCCCATCCCTGGGGAGGTTGGGAATGTGGCATTTTAGCTCTGCAGGTCTTCCCTCTGCAGGCAGGGATGGATTTCCATATCCCAGAGGATCATCTGCCCTAGGGCAGCCCCAGGGCACAGCAGGCAACCAAAAGGAGCTTCCTTCCAAAATTCCAGCGCCAGGGAAAGCTGCATGAGCCACCTGCCACAAATCCAGCAGGGTGTTAAAGGGTTAAGCCAAGGAAGCACAGAAAATGTGGGAAATGCACCTGCTCCAGGAGAGGACTGTGAGAGAATCACCTCAGCCAGAAATTGAGATTTCCCCTCCCTCTGCAGGCATCCAGCCTGGGTTATTCCACATGGACACTGAGGAGGCTTTTCCTTACCCTGACCTGGATCTTCCTTCCCACCACACAAACCAGCAGCTCCTGGTCCTGTCCCCAGGGAGACAGGGCAGAGAGCAGAACCCTGGGATGGTTTGGGTTGGAAAGAGCTCAGAGCCCACCCAGTGCCACCCCTGCCATGGCAGGGCCACCTCCTGCTGTCCCAGGTGCTCCAAGCCCTGTCCAGGGACGACTCCATAACCCCTCTGTGCCTTGGTTCCAACCTCTCTGCTTCTTTCACACACCTTATCTCTGTCTCCTTTCCCTCAGCTAATTAATTTAATTAGCTTTTTTGATTTTCCCTCAGCTAATCCAACTCAGCTCCTTCAGCTTTTCCCCCCTGCGCCAAGGCTGGAGCCTCTCCTGTGCCCGCACCCACTTCCAGAGCAAGGGGACACCCAGACACTGCCACTTCCCTGGCTCTGAGCAGTGGAAAAGCTCATGCACAGCTCCCAAAAGTTACTGCAAGCTTGCTGGAAAACCACAATATACCAAGCAAATTAAAGCTGTAAACACTTAGGATGGAAAAACACCCCTTTCTTTTTTCCCTGGGACCTGGGGATTCACTTCCCCAGCCCAGTTGGGAAACATCCCTGGCAAAATCCATCAAAATGAGATCCAGGATTAGTCTGGTGCACCATTAATTTCAGAACATCATTAACTTAAAAGTGTGTGGGGGGGTAAGAAACCTTTTTGACAGCTGGTTTTGGTCCCTGCCAAGCCTTCAGCACTGCACAGCCATGGTGGGGGGAGGAAATCAGCTGGAATGGGAGCAAATGAAACCAGTCTGGTTTCTGGATTCGCTTTCTTGTGGTCACAGAGCTCTAAAAGCTGGGATTCTGTGCTCTGCAATTACAACATCCATATTGAAATGGGAGGAACGGGGCTAGCATTAAAAATAAAGGAGGAGGAGGAGGAGGTTTGCTCCTCGTGCTGGGAAAGGTGCCTGGGCAGGGCTGGAGCCAAGCAGGGGGTGAGGAACGGGATGTCCCACCCTGTGCATGCCCCTGGCTCCTCCAAAACATCACACTGAGCTCCCTGGCAGGGCTGGGCAGGAGAGCAAATGTGAATGATGCAGCTGAGCCCCAGCAGCCACCAACTCTGCATCTTCCTTCCCACCACACAAACCTTTCTTTCCAACCCAAACCATCCGTGCTCCTTCCCAAAGTCACACCTGATTCCAAAGCCTGGCTTGGGTCACTGCAC